TTTCAATATATTCTTAAAACAAAAATGCTTATTGAAACAACTGGCTGTTGCAAGGAATAAAATTGAAGCGTTCTATGGTGAATAGTGGATTCATACCATTCATTACCTCAGGTTTACCTATTATTGTTTTTATTGCACCTTGCATAGCTTTTTTTATATAGTGGCATTCTACCTATAACCAATGACTGATTTGACTTCGTGACCATCGCATCTCATTTCATTGAAGCATCTAGTTTGTCTTTTAGTCTTTGCTTTATTTTAAACAAGGCCATTCGATGTGGGCAATCAGCTTCTTTGCCGTGACTCGATATTTCTCTTTGTACTCTGTTCCTCACTGTATTTAAACATCCAGGTTTCATTATCACCACGTGTTCCATTTAATAAAATGAATGGCATTATGCCATCACAAAAACCTCCTTTCTGCTTTGATTTTTTCCGAAGCTAGGAATGCCAATCTTCCTTTTTTGACGAACTGATTGGTTTTGGCTGCCCTAGCAACACATATTAGTAAAGTGACACGAAGGGAACAAGACATTGGCACACAGAGCCTAGTAGGTTGGTGCGATGCGATTCCACTGAGGAACATCACACTACACTGCACTGATTGCAGCCTTCCAGCTGTTGAAAGAAAAAAAAATTGGCCGCAAACTTTGTCTTCAAAGTCCTACAATGCATGGAATGCAGTATTCTCGAGAACTGACGAATGTTTATTGACATCGGATCACGTTGTGGCGCGACCTCGATCGGCGCATAATTATACACACCGATTTCCCCGCTGGACCTAAAAGGCAACCCACCTTTTGCATGACGTTGTGGTGTCAAGTCGTAGCGTGACGTGACCCGAATTAGTGTAGTATATTGTACTAATTCAATTTCCAGAATAAATTTAGCAGGGAAATGGTTTCGACGCGAGTCATGATGTGACACAGCCTAAATTAGTGTATCACTATACACCATTTCAATTTCTCCACTAAATTTAGCTGAAAAACACTCCTCGTGTGACCACCACGTTGCACGACGTCGCGCAATGTGATGAGACTTGAATCTATATATAATTACACAGCAATTCAATTTCTTCGTTAAATTTATTAGGGAAATGTATCTGCAGGCGAACAGATTTCTAGGAGTGGAGCCTTCCCTTAAAAGACATTTCATGTTTTAAAAACAAAAACTGCCGATCACTTGGTCATGTTCTCTGTTGAAGGCTGAACAGTGGTCTTGGCAGAGGGGCACTAGCCTAGCGGCTATCATTTCAACTACCCAGTCGCACGACGGGACATACTCGACCCCTAGGTAGTTGGACGGCTCTCTTGTTATCGTGGACAACTCACATTATGGACGATTTTTCGCGAGAATGGAAGTGTTCATATTAAAGAGACATCACTGTATTGTGTTCAATAGATGGCAGCACCTTTATCAAAAATTGGAACCTGTTTCGTGGCTCCTTCCCTCCATGTGAAAAAAATTATACACATCTTTAGACACACTCCCCATTTCAAAGTTAAAATTAGGGATGCCGCAAACTTTTTTCGAACCAAAGGTTCGATGATCGAATCAAGCGGTTCGAAAGATTTCGAATTTTCAAACTTTCCCTATCAAGAAATTTGCCCAAAGTCGAATTTTCGAACTTCTTAAACAAAGAAGTTCGACGCTTTTCGAAATTTCGAACTTATTACGCTGCAAAATTCAATGCTTTTCGAACTTGATAGACTAAAAAAGGTGATGATTTTCTAACTTTCGAATTTATTGCACTAAAAAGTTCTAGGCTTTTCGAACTTCCTACGCTAAGAAAATCAATAATTTTCGAACTTATTAATCTAAAAAATTTGAAAATTGTCGAACTTTCGATTCCTGAAAAATCAAAAGTTCGCCAAACTTTTAGGGTAAAAGTTTGAAGTTCGTCGAACTTCAAAAGTCCGGCAGGCGGTTTCATCTGGATTCAAGCAGTGAGGTACATTCGTAATTTTTTTTTTTTTTTTTTCGCATTTTTACATGTGGTGTTGCATTCCTTGCAAAAGACAATGCTGCTTATTTAAAGAAATAGATTCGCAAAGGAGCGAGGAAGGACGACGACAACATGTTTTTGACAATTGCCGTTTGTGCCATATTTGAGGCGCACTATAGCCAAAGCTATTTATGGTAGAGATGTTAAACTTGTTAAGAATGATCTCTGTATAGCCTAGGTAAGTGTCGTCTTAAGATATGATTATTGTTGTTCAAGACTAGTTTCAAAGAAATATCCAAACATGTAACTATGGGCAATTATGCCCTAAACTTGGTAATTTTTTTTCATCTAAATTGTTTGAGGTATTGCATATAAATTAACACCACAGACAGCACATATCATTACCATCTGCAGAATACAAAATAACATTTATTGTTTTTTCCACGTTGAGTAATAAATGAACTTGCGGGGAAAGATTTCTAAAATTGTTCAAATTCAGCAAGTCATAAAAAAAAAAAAAATTACTATTATTATTATTATTTTTTTTTTTTTTTTTTTTTTTTTTTTTTACGTTTTTGGGATGTGTTTCTTTTAGCCTGTACACATTTTGGTAGGAGGAACCTGTTTCGTAGTTCTGGGCCTCTGAGTATGCAAGAATACAACACTTCCGGCGGGTTCTTTATAGTTTTTCTTTTTTCTCTCCAGCTTTTCATTTTGGTATTTATTGTAATGTTCATTTATTTGTTATTTTTTACCAATGGCACAGTTATTTAGGTCGAAAAGACATAGCTTTGATCTTCCGAACAACCGAGGATGTGACGAGTAGTGCCTTCTGACAATGAGTTTTTAACAATGACCCTCTATGCAATCTTTTATGCAGTGAAGAGCGACAGTAGCTATACATATGCATAAATAATTTTAGATTAAAATAAGCTCGACCATGCCCTCTTTCCCCGTACTGTTTTCTTTAACAGTCCGAAATATCTGGGGGGGGGGGGGAGACTGGAGTCCCCCCCCTTTCCCCCCGTTTTTCCTCTTCCGACGCCACTGATATGGTAGAACGCTCCTTGACCTCAAGTTGTGTCGGCTTCTGTGCTTTTTGCTCGGCGTTTCTTCCGTCCCGGAAAATAACCCTCCAAAGCAATTACAAACTAAAAAATTGTCAAGGTGCAGGCGAGCTAGTGTATGTTGATCATAATGCAAAATCCTGAGACTGGGAATGAAATTCGAAAGAAATCGTGTAAGAAGAAAGAAAAAAGGGGACAGGACGTCTCAAACTCGGCTGAGTTGAGCTTGAGACGTTGTCCTGTCCCCTTTTTTTCTGTCTTCTTACACTTTTTCTTTCAAATTTCATTCCCAGAGCCGAGTTTGAGGCGTTGTCCTGTCCCCTTTTTTCCGACTTCTTACACTTTTTCTTTCAAATTTATTCCGTCTCAGGATTTTGCATCATGTACAAACTAAACTTGCTATATGCCAGCATCACTTGGGCGGCGTTCGATCGGATTACTACCAGCGTTCAAGGGGGTAGGGAGGCAGTTTGCCAGATCGCTTCAAGGATTTTCTGGGCCTCAACCACTTGCCTGCCCCTGGCCGTTTCAAACTGGATGAGTATCGTTAAACAGTGCGTTCGTGTGATCACTACTTTGTGATGCACGTTAAAGACCCCCCCTCCCAAGCTGGCGGTCACTCTGCACTGACAAATATTCCAGCACATCCGGGACACTCGTCGTCTCATTTCATTGCCTGACCAACTACGCGCAGTCTAAATATCACATCCAAACTTTTCTGAACCTGATTTCGTGAAAACGTTAGTTGAAACTGAAACTGTGGCGGAACATGAAAACCGGACTTCTAACTTTGCGCACTTGGACTTCAACGAAATTGGAAACCTTGGAAGTTGTTTTTTGTTTTGTATTTTTCTAATTTAGCCCTAAAAGAGAATCGAAACCTTCGAACTTTATGTAGAAAGAAATTCTAAATCTTTGAATTTATCGAACTTTATGTCTTTGAGAATTCTAAACGTTGAAAGTTTTCGAATTTTAGATCCAAAGAAATTCGAAACATTCGAATCTCTCGAATTTCAAATTAGGGAAGTTTGAAATCTTCGATTATCGAACCTCAAGTAAACAAATATTCTAAATAATCGAATCCGAACTTTTAGAAACCGTGAAAGCTTCTAACTTTTTCGAATTCGAAACTCCACAGATTTTGAAAGTTGCAAATTTTTCTAATTCAAACCTTCGTACGGTCAAAAATATTGAAATCTTTCGAATTAGAACCTCAGTACGGTTTGAAACTATCGAAACATTTTGAATTCGACCCTAGGGTGGTTCACGGCATCCCTAGTTAAAATAGAGGTGCCTCTAGAAATGCGCTCCCCAGTTAAGGGGATCAGCTGGAAATTGATGGCTCATTTCGTCGGAGTTACGTTGCTTTTGGCGCTTTTATGACACTTCAGAAATTTAGTATGGTCAAGGGCACAAAAATGGAGCCACCGGTTACAACAGCGCAAGCAGCACATGGTTAATTTTTTGAGCGAGCCCTTCGAGAAAGGCCGCACAGCCTTTGAATGTTCTGTCGCAGGCGGGTAGAATGCTCTTGCGACAGAGCAACGCAGCAGGTGACTCCGACGAAATAAGTTGGTGATTCGCAGCTTCCTCCCCAATATTGTTGTATAACTGAAACATAATCGGCAATCAGTAAGCCGCCTGACCGGTTCGGCTAGTGACCTCCCCACAAGAGGAGGGTGGGGTATGCCCCAACACGTGAGGGTCAGTTGGAACGGTAGCTGCAAGGATGGTACCCTTCCACCAAAGTTGGGCCCTTGCACGGCAGCATCATTGTTTCATTGCGCATCGTTGTCATTTCGCTTTATTTCATTGCGCATCGTTTCAAGGAAAATGGCCAATCAACAGGCCCTTGGGGGCTGTACCAGGCATGAGGAAAAACACTTATACTGCCACCACCTCGCATGTGTGTTACCATGCATGTGAAAAGAAGGAAGCACTTTTGTGGGTAAATTCACTATTTGATTGTTCTAGATAGAAACTGAAGATATGGATAGCAACATAAACTTTATTATGTACCACAAGAATGTTGGATTGTAGCTGGCAGTTCAGTGTAGTTCACGCATATGGCACTTCTTATATTGTACATACTATGAAAAGTAAAAAGTGCTTGGCATCTGAACAGTGTTTCAATGATTGAAGTGGGAGACCAAGAGTCAGATTGGGCTCCTTTCGCACCATCAGAATAGGAGGAACTTTAATTTGAAGTTAAGCTGCCTGCACCGAACAATGAAAATTGAAAAGAGAAAGTAAGACACGTAAGCTTGCGCATTTGTATTAAAAGCAATATTGATGTACTACAAAAGAGACGGTGATATGAGTACATCCCTCATTTTTCCCTCGGTACTGCAGTCTCACGATTTCATTGTGAACATATAAATATTTTCTATCGTATAAAATGATTTACAGACGATGATGAGGAGGTTCTTTGTTTTCAAATCGTTCACGAAGGCATCGACAGGCAAACGCTCTGGTCGTAACTATGTCTGAAGGATTCTATAATTGAGCAGCACGCATCTATTTTAATTTGTATATGAAGCTGCACAAAGCCTTCCTATCTAAATTAAGCAATATAATTCATTAGAGAAAATTCGTACCACCTGGCAGTTCCTTCACAAATTTTGGTGCACCAAACATCCATTGTATGTTTACCTTCAAAGAGGTCTCTCACTCCAACCACAATTTTCGGGCACCTTCACCCTGCAGAAACGGCTGGTAGTTTTTCTAACTTCCGTGAACCACGGATGAAGTGTGTCTCAGATGCGTATGATGGGGAAATTCTTGTGCTGACTGAAGTCAAACTCGGGCAGACTGGACGAGTTCTTCTTGTGGCCGCTGAGCAAGAGCTTGACCACAATGAAGTTTGTCTTGGACACCTTCATGACGCTGGTAAGCTCCTCATTAAGGTCCTGCACGTTGTCAAGGAGCATGCGTGCATTCTGGAAGCACTTGCAGGCGGCCAAGTACATGTCCTCGGGTGTCGGGGGCGGCTGGTACTTGTACGGGTCCGTCATCTCCCGGTACTGGGCATACTGCACCGGTGGGGGCGTCAGGATGCTGTTGAACGGGGCGAACCGGTGCTCGTAGCGGACCTGGGAAGAGTAGGATGGAACTCGAAACAGGCTCTATAATTGCATTACGTGTTTGCTTAGATAGTGGTAAGTTATCCAGTCTGAACCGGTGTTTGGCGTCCGTCTCCGGTGTAGATCAGAAATTTAGCCAGTGCAGTACCGCTGCTATCCTGAAGTCTAACGTACAATACAGCGCTCGTCCAGATTGAAACGGGCTGGGGTGGGGATTGAACCCAGGATCCCCGGGTTGTGCAGCACGAGCTTTCGCTATACGGGCTCCGTGTGTTTAGGACACCCGTGCATCAAATTCCAAACAGTATGGACAGCCGATAATGAAGGCGCACGATTCTTCTCGCAAATTCTGGCACCCTCATAGACAGGGTTGTAAAGTACCTCGGTACAAGTAACTGGAAATCGGTATCTAAGTACTTTTGTTGTACCTGAGGTGCAAACCTAGGTACTTTAATTTCCTGGTATCTGTATTTGTATCTTAGGTATTTTTTCCAGTAACTTGTAACTAAGTGAAGCTACTTTTTACAGGTACTTTTCTATTCACTTCATCAAAATGGTAGAAACTATGAATCTTGAAATATTAACACACTACCATGTGCCGTGATTAATGTTGAGTTGGGTACAGCATTGGAGGCACCGACTTGATCGAACGACATTTTAGCGAACGAAGCCCCGCCTATGATGTTTCATTGAACGACACACTTTAGTGAATGTAAGTGTTCATTTGAGCGAACGGTGAATTAACTATGCCGTTCTAGCGACACCAATTTATTTAATCGCTTCGGAACTCCGTTTAGGGAAAATAGCGACCTGCTTCCTTCATCTAAAACTGATTTCATTGCGTGTTTGAAGTTCCTCTGACAGCTGTACAAGGAAGGAGATAACTTGAACGATGTGCGCAGTTTCTGTTGCCCGTATCTTGTCCTGGTGGTGGCACTGTTTTGCCATAAATACAATATGAAATATAATTGGAAATAAATTATAATTACAATCGTAAAGCAATGTAACATTGCGTATATAATACAGTTTCCACTCAATAGATCGGACTCAAATTTTGCAGTTATCAAAACTGAGAAAGTTCCGAAAGAAAAAAAAACTCATTTTTCTTCTGGCTAACGAAAGAAAAAATAAAACGAGGAAGCTTGAAGACTTTCGCTCGTCGTCGTGAAGGTTAGGTGCATATGCACTCGACTCATGCGTTTCTTCATGCGGCTGACGTCTTCTGGGCCCATCGGCGTAAGCACCGGCTCTGAGGGCAAGAACGTCAATAAGTGAATTTCGGCGGATTCGGTGTGACATGGTAAACAGTGGAAGCTGTGGCCTCGGTGAACCAATTGGAGCGTGGGGACAAGGCACGTGAGGACTCAACACCGATGTGGACATCGCATTGGCACCAATAAAGCACATTTATCGAACTCGTTTTTGGGTGTATCCTTAGCATAAAAAGCTTTACTTCCAATATATTTTGACAAATTTGGGGAAAATAAATAGACAGTATCTTTTAAGTAACTGTACCTAGGTGCATCTTTAAGCAAATACCTAAGTACCTTTTCGTATGAGTAACTGTATCTTGGGTACATTTTTTAAGTAACTTTTACAACTCTGCTCATAGATAATTTGAGAACTTCAGTGAACTCGGTTACAGCTTGCCTGGTGGTCATGTCCCATCCTGATGCCCCGCAACAAAGTTACCGCACCATTAGCTGCCCACCTCCTCCCCCTCCAAGCACCGCAAAACTTGGAGCAACACCCCTAGATAAGAAAGTTGTAGAGCTGGAATTTCCACGTTGCCCACCGGCGGCTAGCGTGGTGCACGGATTGGACACGAGCGCTGCGTCGTCGTTCGACCGAGACCAGTGCTCGGTCGGAAAGGACACGCGTCCCAGCCAAATGCAGAAGCAGCGGTCGTATCCAATGTGTGCCCCACGCTGGTCTTCTTTAGGTGACATAGAAATTGCAGCACTATGGCTTTGATACCTATAGTTTGTTCCCCTTTACGTGCTTGCAAAGCCAAAGCCACAAGCTCAAACGTGCCACCTTGAAGGACGCTTGCGCCGTACGAGTGCGTGCCCTAGGCAGGGACTTTGAAAGCTTGGGGCGTACCCTTGCAGCTTCTGCTACGCTCGCACCTGAAGTGAAAGGAAGAGTTGGGGAGGAGACTCAACCATCGCACCCCTAGCAGCCAATTTGATAACTGAACCCATGGAGGACAACACAAACTATTCGTCTGTGTTTCTGACATGGCGCTCGGCCAACGTGGCCGAATGCTATGTCGGCACTGGGCCGGGGCTCGTGTTCGGTCAGCAAAGCGCTGACCGAATGCGAGTTCCTGTGGAACGCCGACGCAACACTTGCATCATTTCTGTATTCCGTGCCACGTGCTCGATCAAGAAAGATGACGAGCCTCACATTGGGCGAACGCCGCGCTCTGGAAAGCAAGCCGGACAGGGTGCCTTGTACAATCGAACCTCCCTGCCATCCGGAGCCACCCACCTGCTCCTTGTCGAATTCCGGGCAGGGCCGCCGGAGCTTTCCGTCGAGGGTGAAGCCCACAATGGTCTTGTAGTAGCCCCCGCAGAGGTTCTGGTAGGCCTGGCTGACAAATATCTCGCGGCTGTGCGGGCAGGGCTTCTTCTTGCGCTTGCCCTTCTTGACGCCCCGGCCGGCCTTGCCCTGCTGCTCCGCCCGGGCCTCCTGGTCCATGAGGAAGGTGTCCGCCCGCGACAGTGCCGAGATCATCCAGCCGTACAGGAACTCGTACAGGTACCAGAAGATGTAGCCGTACTCGTGCGTCGAGTACAGCTCCAGTTCAAAGCCCGACAGCAGGTACTGGATCATGGTCTTAAGCACGTGGTGCAACACCCAGGTTGTGAAGCAGGCCATGTGCTGCATGACCTGCGGAAAATATTGTCCCTTTGTTACAAGGTTTTTAGTGCTCAGTTTAACCCGAACCGACCGCCAAAGCACAAGCAATAGAGCGTGCCCTCGCCTTTGGCCTGTTACAACCTTCAACTTTGTTTGTGTGTCACTACACTTTATGTAGGTGGCCCAGGTCACAAACCAGGCGCTGCACGTTTTTGACCATCGTCGGTTCGCAAAACAGATGACAAGATCAGCAGAAGGATGCAGTAGATGCCTTTAAATGGCTAACTTGTTACTATGTATGTACTTGATTCTTATGAGTGGAAGGTTAAAGGTAAGTTCTTCGTGCATAATGGGCTCAGAAACAATTTTTTAATAACTACTTAACAGGGAAGCTATGACAGAACTTTTTTGCAAGAGGGAATTTAGTGTAACTAAAACAAATGCGTGCAGACTCCCTGCACTGATGCTTTCTTGCAGTGTGCCAGTGCACTTGTGATAAAGAACTGTATTAAAATGGATGGTGGGCTATTGTTACACAAATAAAAAAAAATTATCTCCACAGCACATGATCTAGATCCGTAGCTAGCCTTCGGCTATGGATCTAGACCTTGTGTATTTGTATCATTTCGTTTATGAACAAGACAAGAACATGAGGTATTTTACGTTGCTATCAAATCTTATGCCCTTTCCTTTATGTCTCATTCCTAAAAAAAAATATGGTGATTAAGTGTTTCCAGGAAGGTAAGCAAATATACAGGTCTGTTATATCAAAAAAACTATTCTCTATCAAAACTTTTCATTGAATAATATGACATATGCTATGAGGAAGCACAGCTATGTCAGTTCATTATTTTGTCTGCTATTTTTTATTGTTCTTCGCACCTCTGACAACAGAATTAAGTATCCCACTCAAAAGGGCAACTCTTTTGAAAAAAAAAAAGGTTTTCTTTGTTTTTTCAGCTACACCTACAATTTGCTGAATGGGGCTTGAATATGTGCAAGGAAGCTTTCCTCGCAAACTGAATACAAACCACTCTCGATTCTGACTTAAAGCAGTCTTTCAAGGCATTAAAAAATGTGTAGCTCGGTGTATAAATGAAGGTTTCATATGAAAAGTACTCTTAACTTGCATAAGTCACGTTGAGTCACTTCTCTTATCCGCCACTCAAATGTTCCATAAGCAGAATACATCAGCGATATACACGCAAATCTTGACACTGTGACTCAAATGTTATGCTGTCATGTAATGTCACGTGACAGTGTCAAATGACATACCGTACCGTTACACCACGGCCCGACACTCAATGTTAATAAACATAATAACATTGTTGACATTACGATATCACACGCCACCACAACTTCCCCATGAGTCTCGTGACACTGTCACCACCCAATGTTACTATAGATCTAATAATGCTGTTGACACCGTGACAACATGACTTTGCACTGCGAGTCGCGTGATGACACCGTGCCGCGCGATGCAGCAAAGCGAGGGAGCCGACCTCGAGCTTGACGGAGATGCTGTGCAGGACGGTGTCAAGCCGGTCGGCCTCGTCCTGGAGCACGGCCAGCTCCTCGAGCAGGTGGGTGAGCTTGTCCCGCTGCCGTGCCCGGTTGTGGCCGCAGATGTGCACCAGGGAGGTGAAGGGGCGCACGCAGTGGGCCAGGAAGGCGTCCACAAACTCCCGAGCCTGCTGGTGGGAGGACAGGGCCCCACGCTGGGCCAGCACGGGCGGCCGGATGAAGGAGCGCACCGAGTCCTTCAGCACCTCCACCATGGTCAGGCTGCCCAGCACCCTGCCCGGCGAGGGCAGGTACAGCAGCTGCACCACCGACCTGCACGACGGCTCAGTCAGTTTGGGCCGGGGTTGTCCTAGGAAGCGTTAGTACAGATTGCGCACAACTGCGGTTGACTGCGTTGGGTGACCCTGGAACTGCATATTACGGGAGCGAAGGTTCTTGTGGCATTTGTGAGATCAAATACGCTACTATTCATGAGAAATGGACGTTTATAACATCCTCAAAAATATTTTTTAAAAAAATGCACAAAAAAAAAATTTATATATAGAAATGCCAAGTGTTCCACAACTACTCAATAGATGGCACCAGTGCGCATTCTTTCGTCGTTAGAGAGCCTGCATTACGGTGAGTGTCCAACCGCTCGATCCGGGTCACGTGGTTTATGGGCCACGTTTGCAATTTGAGCGGCGAGGAGCTGACGAAAGTGATGATCGCCCGCTAATGTCTTTGCCTTTTCACGGTTCGAGCTGGACCCTCTCTACAATCTAAGCTCTCTGCTCGTCGTAAGAGATTTCGAGAGGCTTTAAAACATAGGGTCGTAAGTAGTCGCAAATATACGAACGGTCGCGATCACTCGTAACTGCTTAAGACGCGAGAATGCAATGGCCACTTCTATCTAGTAGCCGTGGAAATGGAACGTTATAAGCGACTATTTATAATAGATAGTATGTAAATTTTATCTCGCAAATATACTGCAAAACCTTCAGCCTAGTTATGTGCAATTGTAAAGTGTTTCTAGGGCTGCAGGATAGATGGCATCAGTGTGCCAGTGTGTCCTCTAGTGCAGTGGTTCTCAACCATCGACGCTTCAGAGACCCCCTCTGGGTCGACACAAGTGACGAAGGATTCCATCCAATGAGGAGAGTGTAAATATCAGACGACTAAAACGACGAGAGGGTAAACGAAGGAAACTAAATGCGTACAAACCACTTTGCAGCTGTGAAGCCGAGAATAACCAACCCTACTCGCTTGGCACACACGGTTTGGTCTATCTAACCTTGTAAAACAACCAGCACAAAACCCAACAAAAAAAGTTTCACTGGTTGGCTTAATTGACAGTTGAGGTCTTCGGGGACCCCAAGAGGCCTTCAAGGGCTCTGAAGCGTCTGCGGACCCCCATTTGAGAACCGCAACCCTATTGCGTACTAGTGTTCTCTCATAAGCATAGCAAGTCGTCGTAAAGCAGTCGATTACACTCAAACAAATCTGTGAGCCAACCCTAAGGCATTCAGTACCAGCAACACTGAGAGCCTTGGGACAGTTACTGTATGTCCCTAAGTCTCAACCCTGTCCCCCAGTGGGTTCGGTGCAGGGGCAACGCCAACAAGGTTTGACCAGAGGAAAATGGCGACTCCCTCGCCGGGGGGAAGAGGCGGGGGGTAATGGTTTTAGTTTTTTTGCCTGATCCCCCAAGGGTCATCCTGGTGATATCCCACACTACCTGGTGATAGTTACAGGGAGAAAATTGGTTAAAAGGTGGAAGGAATCAAATGTTTGTCTAGTAGTAGGGTACGTTGTTGGGCTAGTGGTTCTTGTTGGGTTAGAGCTTGTCCTGTATACTTCTTGTCCTTGTCTTTTAGAGCGCAGCTCTTAGGGGCCCGTTCCCGGCTTGAGCGGCGTCGCCGTCGGCGTCGGCGTAACCGCAACCCTCGTAACCCTCGTGAGGGTTACGGGGGTTACGAGGGTTAATCTCATGAGGGTTACCCTCACGAGGATCACGAGGGTTACTTACCCTCGTAACCCTCACGAGGGTTACGAGGGTTAGTTACCCTCAAAAGGGTTACCTTCACGAGGGTTACCCTCACGAGGGTTACCCTCACAAGGGTTAGAAACCCTCGTAACCCTCGTGAGGGTTACGAGGGTTAGTAACCCTCGTGACCCTCGTGAGGGTTACTAACCCTCACGAGGGTTAGTAACCCTCGTGAGGGTAACCTTCACGAGGGCTACCCTCACGAGGGTTATGAGAGTTACCCTCACGAGGGTTACTTACCCTCGTAACCCTCACGAGGGTTACGAGGGTTAGTAACCCTCGTGAGGGTAACCTTCACGAGGGTTACCCTCACGAGGGTCACGAGGGTTATGAGAGTTACCCTTACGAGGGTCACGAGAGTTACCCTCACGAGGGTCACGAGAGTTACCCTCACGAGGGTCACGAGAGTTGCCCTCACAAGGGTTACTAGGGTTACCCTCTCGAGGGTCACGATGGTTACCCAGGTCAAGTGACCCCCCCTGGGGTCACGTGACCTGGGGATACCCCCGAGGTCACGTGACCCCCCGTTGACGTCATAGCCACTGATGACGTCATCAGTGACGTCACTGATGATGTCACCGGCATCCGCATCGTCATCGTCATCATCACTGATGACGTTATTAGTGACGTCACCGGCATCCGCATCGTCATCATCATCACTGATGGCGTCATCAGTGACGCTACTGATGACGTCATCGGTATCGTCACGTGGCCCCAGGTCACGTGACCCCCGCGACGTCACGTGACGCCCCAAGGTCACGTGACCCCAAGGTCACGTGACCCCCCGCCCCCGAGGTCACTTGACCCACCCCCCAGTACCCTTCCCTCCTCCTCCTCAAGAGCTGCGCTCTAATTCGGCGTTACAGGGAGTTGTAAACGGCTTTCATTTTTTGTGCTATTTTATATGTTTAACTAAAATGTTTGTCTTCTTTAGACATAGGCTAGGTGGCGCAAGCTACCGCCCGCTACAAAGGGTATATATAGCCAGTAACATCCATCCATCTTTAAGCTCCACTCTTGTGGCTTGTGCAACAGGAGGGACAAGAAAGACACTGAGGCAAGGACAGAAGTAAAACAGGCGGTTTTTATGTCCTCACTCTTTCCACTGTCAAAAGCCGACTAAGGAAAAGATTATTTCATATGTCTTGATTTGAGCAAATATTTGATGAATTTCATGTGCATTTTTTTAAAAGATAACTTGAACAGCTCAAAAACTGCAAATTGCAGAAGTTTTGTGAGCTGAGAAAATTTAAAACTTCAAAAAACTTTAAACAAACTCTAAATATTAGTTTATATTTTTTCTTTTTTTCTTTCTATTTTTTTTTTTGTTGTTGTGAGTTTTAACAAATTATAAAATTGTTTAACTCAAATCTCAAAATGTATGCATTTTCTTTAATCGACCATAGGTGATGTTTATTTTAGAAAGTTTCAAAATAATTTGAATTATAACGTTGTAGAGCAAATTATATTTCTAAACAATCCTAACCTTCCTGAAGAAATTTTTTTTATCATAAAACACTAAATTTTTCGTTTGTTTTTTCTTTGAAAACATGTGTGCAACCAGAAAAAAAATGAGTCTCCTTTTTGCTTTTGAAACCTCTTTCCTAACCATTTTTGCACTGTCACAGAGATCAAATTTCAGAATTGAGCATGCATACTGTTAATCAAGTGAAAACATTCATTATATCTTGTTTCCCCTTGACAGGTGTTACATCTACTTAAGTTATTCACTCCTTTCATCAAATTAAAATTTCTAATTAAGAGTGACTTAAAGGGCAAGAAACAATAAAATTATGCTGGCTATTATCACTTCATTTACCTCTATTATGGGGCACAATCCAGGTCACACAGCTGTGTTTTTCATAAATGTATTCCTATTTAGGGTGCAGTAAATGGAACCTGTGTGTGTGGGAGGAAAGGGGGGGGAGTTCTGATGGCCATCCTATATGAGTACTGCTCTCCAAATCTTGTTGCAGCGTTCCTCTGGAGAAGAATACATCTTCCTGTAGCCATGACAGGGCTACAGGAAGATGCCCGAGCTAGTTGATTATAGACCTTTTCATTTCAGTAGTTGCCTGACGGGTGGGTAGAGGGCGCTGGCGCACTCGCCGCCATTAGGTTGCTTCAATTTGGTCGGTTTCGGTTTCAACGTGCACGCGATTGTAATGCTGTTTCATGCCACTTTCGATTAATTTTGCGATATAAATTGCTTTCCTGTAGCACACAGCGAATGAAACAATAGTATTGAGCCACCTGGCAAACCACAAAATGGTTTTGAGCCTAAATTGCGATCTTTTTTTACGAACACGATGTGCGTCTGATTCCGTCCATCGTTAACTTCGGCCAGGTTCGGCGGTGAAACAACCGCGCTGATGCACAGGGAGGGTTACCATTGTCCACGGCCATACCCGCGGACACTAATTTCCAGAAGAAAAAAAAAGAAAAAAAGAGCAGGACAAGCACCGCCTGCAGCGTGCGTTCGTTGCCTGCCGCCGTACTTTGGCTGTGCGAGCACCGAGCGGTACAAAAGGTAGATAGCTCGCACTCAAGTCCGATATTGAACTGATCATCTTATATTGCAACAGATTATATTGCATGAGTGCTTAGTGAAAATCAGGTCGACAACATCATTAACAATCTGCTGTGTCACCAAGAACAGATCAACTGATAAGTTTACTGTTCGATGTTTGGTATTCATACACCAACCTTTTCTAACTTCGAGACTGGAAACGTCTTTTATAATGACTAGACAATTTTCATATAATCACGTAGATCATATAAAAAAAGTGATATTGTCTCGGCCTGTTTTATTTAAAGAAATTAAGCGCTTGAGAAATATTTTGATAGACCAGCCTAGGGTGACTAGAAAATTTCTTTAACTAATAAGTACTCATTAACAGAATTTCAAAATATTGGCCTTATGAAATAAACTTTTTGTTATATGGACATTTGCTGACGACGTTCTCAAGGTATGAGAATGGTGAGATAAGTGAATGCCAGACTTCAAATACAGTCCGATATTCATCTTCCGTAAAATTTGGCGAATGAAATTGAAGAGCGCAAAGGAAATGATCTCCGATAAGTTTGGCTGAAGTCGGACGCCAGGCGCCACCGAATGGACCTGTGTAGAAAGCTGTTCACTGATTTGAAACGATACGCTTTGCACATTTCAACGTCGCCAGCTACTGAAAGTAACTCCCTATTCGCCGTCAACAACGGGCTGCACTCGGGGGATTTTCATGCAGAAGGATTCTTTTCGGAGTCACATTTTGTGAATCATAGACACTATCAAGCTGTCTGTGACAGTTTCTTACGCGGGGAGTCAAAATATTTGTGTTGAAACAAATTAATTGAAACTGCAGGATTATATTAAAAAATGACTTAAACAACTGAAAGACTATGGACATGGGACCAAGCACGATATACAATTCCGTGGAATTCATAAATAAACCGATAAAGCGAATGCTTATATCACACACGCGATTAAGAACGTAAAACAGATATAGGGTTGATATTGCGAACAAACAAGTTGCCTAATGTTAAGGTACTATTATTTCTAGCATAAAAAATAATTCAAACTAAACCTTTTTTCTCGCGTCTTGTCCACAAGTTCCTTAGTGTAATCAAAAGAAGCTGTTTTCGATCTGTTGTAACTACAAATCACCATGCTTTCTAGAAAAACACGTGGCTAATTACGTTGAGTGTTTTTGTTTCCTTCCTTGCCACCAATGCGCACTCATATATATACTTGCATTAGGCTTCCTATTCCAAATGTTCCGCCCTTATTAGTAACCAAACCTCAGTTCTCATAAGTTAATGGTATTTGAACTCTCGAGGCTTTCTTCAAGTCATATATGTATTCAATGTGCGCAAGTGCTAACGCTGATTCCGGTTCCTATAAAGCCTCCTCACACGTATCCCGCACGCCGACGGTAAAAGATATTCAAAACGTACGTGTTACAAAATTAACTACAGAAGTTGGCCGCATAATGATGTAATGCAACTGCATGGTAGGTATAAGTATCGGGCGACACTTTACGGAGTAAGGCAAGAGACGGGGTGAAACGCGACGAAAAGCACGAATTCAACGCATCCGCCAATGCGCGGACGGGAGAGCGGAGCATCAAGTTGAAGCAACCTAATGGCGGCCGCATCACGTGATTCCAAGATGGCAGCGCCCATGCGGCGGAGGGTGAAAAGGTCTATACATTGGGAAGTAGCCTACACGGAGTCTCAAACAAAATATATCTTCGAAAGGGGCAACGCACTCACCCTGGGTCCCCTCTAGCACTGCCCGAATCTTAGCAGTGCGGGTTCATTTACAGAAACTTGGCGGGTGCCAACGTTCAGGTGCTGGTTTGTTACCTTGTGAAGATGACCTATTTTACATATCTCCAGTGCCTCTGCAAAGGTTCCTTTGATGCACGAAGGCACAAAGCTTTTAGCCTCTGTGCCTTTGGAAAAACAAACAGGTGCCTTATGCATGTGAATAGGACATTTGTGGAAAGGGGATATCTTGAGGACAAGTGCAAGAGAACCGTCTGCGCTGCCAGGAAGGTAATTGAGAAAGGTGCACGCACAGTACCTTGACCCGAGCCAGACAAATGGGAAGGGTCAACTGCAATGCAAAGACACTTGGGCAGAGACGAGGCTGCAAGGTGTTCACCTTGAGAGGACGCACGGCCAGGTCTTGCTGAACTCGCCCAGAAAGTCGATGGCAGAGTGGAAGGAGGTGCAGTCCACGATGCGGCACACGTGACGCAGCCGTCCAATCAGCGCCTCCAGGTAGTCCATGGTGTCAGCGCGCGGCTTGATCTTGGTGTAGCGGGGAAAGGTGGGTGGCAGGAGCCTCTGGTTGACCAGCGGCTCGAAGCCCATGACAGTCGGGTAGTCGGCGCGGTTGGTGCCCTCGGCCTTGGGGTCCGGCTGCACACCGAGTGGGATGGTGCGGCGGAGAACGGGGAGCACCTCGAGGCACTGCTGGAGCAGGCGCTCCACCTCCTCGACGCCATCGCTGCTTTTCTTGCTGAAGATGATGAGCGCCTGCTGGAACAGGCGACAGAACTTGATCCGAGTATACACGGCCAGGGCCTCCTCGTGTTGGGCAAACTGGGCGGCGTCCAGGTCTTCGCCAGGCTTGGCCCTCGTCGACTTGACCTTACGCGACAGCTCTTCCTCGACCTCCTTCATCATGCCCGCCGCCCGCACCTCCGTCACATCGCAGGCCAGTTTGTAGCCGTACACCACGGGCTGGAAGTCTTCCTCTTCGAAGACGGCCGCCTTGTTGACAAAGTTCTTTATCGTGTCCACCATTTTGAGGATGCATATTGAGAAGGCCTTCATTACCTTGTCGTCGATCATGTGGGGCTTGTGGAGGTAGAGGTTGGTGAACACCGTCTGGGCCAGCGAGTGGCCCTCGAGCCAGGTGACCAGGCACGCCAGAGTGGAGTCCATGATGCCGATGTGTTCACTCGTCGACAGGTCCGCCGTCTTGAGGATCCCGGCCGCCAGCGCCTGGTCGAAGTTCATTACTTTTTTGTTGCCGAAGTTGCACATCATGCCAGCATCCATCTTCGGGTCCATCATCTCGATAGCCGACATCGCTTCGAACAGGGTGAACATTTCGTCGTGTAGCAGCTCGCCCAGCTGGAGTTCTCGGGTGGCTTCTTGGAAGTCGAGCGTGACGTTCTTCCAGTTGTAGGTTACCGTTGGCGCCTCATTTTTGCAGCTGATTGGGTTTTCTCCCGCAGGATCCAGAAACGGATTACCTTCGCCCGCCATGTTTGACTCCACGCACGTCTGTGGCGCCGCCTGTGAATTCTACGTGGTAGCGCAAAAAATAAATTTTTAGGTGGTTGAGTAATAGAGCGTGTTGTTTTCTAATTTACGAAAAGGAAAGAGGAACATTGAAGACTAACAGACGAGACAGGCCTTGGAGCCCCCCACCCCACGATTGTATCTTTGAACTCACTCTGAATAATCCTGTCTAGTACCAGCGAACCACAATGAAAATTTGGTCACTTTGAGCCCTACATGTATTTTGTTTGCCAAACGTCCGCTTCGTGTTACTTCACCGAGCAAAAAACAACGAAAGCCTGTCTCGTCTGTTTGTGTCTGTTTGTCTTTAATGTCCCTCTTTCCTTATCGTAAATAAAAAAAATTGGTTCGCATGAGAACAGTTTCGGTTTCGTATTTTAACGAGTTCTCAAAATCTTCATATGCAAAATAGTGAGAGAGAAAAAAAGAGAACAACTTGTAATTATTAACAAGAACGTAATTAGGCACAACGCATTTCTTTTTTCTAAAGCATGAAATGCTTTTTAACAGTATACCCTCCGCACCACACCCCCCCCCCCCCCTTTTTTTTTTTTTTCAAGTTTTTGTCCGTCCGTCTGTGCATTCCTGCTAAATTTAGCGGGAAAATCAATTTCCCACTAAATTTAGCGAAAAATTTGACGTCCCGTGACGTGGCGTTACGAAACCTACAGACAAATACAGTTTTCCCGCTAAATTTAGCTGAAATGTGACGTCACGTGACCTACAGACCAAATCAGTTACCCCGCTAAATATGGCGGGAAAATTGATTTTACTTGACCTACGCACCAATTTTCGCGAAATGTGGCGGGAAAATTGATCTCACGTGACCTGTAAACGAATAGACTTGTTCCAAAAATTCAATACTCAAAGCGTCCCATCGCGGCGAAATGCCACGTAGTGCACTCTGGGAACTAGTTGGCCACTCAGTTTCGGTTTCGATTGAGGAACTTCGAATCATGCTATCACGCTGTGACCGAATGCGTAGCTTGCATTTTCGATTGTCCGATTCCCGGGTGTATCTCAAAACAACCCATTCTGATTTGAACCCTTCTCGTTTGAACCCATTCGCAAAACGCCCTTCGCGTTTTAACCCTTCGCGTTTCAACCCTTTCTCATTTATACCTGTCTCATTTGAACTTATTCTCATTTGAACCCTTCTCGTTTGAACCCATTCGCAAAACGCCCTTCGCGTTCTAACCTTTCGCGTTTCGACCCTTTCTCATTTGGATTCGTCTCGTTTGAACCCGTTCTCATTTGAACGCCGTATTTCAAACCATTCGCATAACGCTCTTTGCGATTTACCCTTTTCTTATTTATGCCCTTCTCGGTCGAACCCGCTCTCATTTAAATTCTTATTGTTTAATTAAACACCGGCTCAAAACATGTGCTTGGCGTTTCAACCCGTATCGCTTAAACATATAGTTTGACAATTTGCGTGTCATCTTTTTTTAGAGTGCTCTTGGAATTTCAATCAGTCTCTCTCTCTTTCTGTGTTAATAAATGAATAAAAATAGTGGAGATTTTGGCACTGTTAATATCAGTGCCGGCTACTCCATAGCAATTGTTATGTGATAAAAAATACCCAGATCTAAAACAAGATAAGCACAAACAAAAATCCCACCAGAGTTGCCATTGTACATATTATTACAATTCAAACATGTTCGTGGATCCATTTTCGTGGTCTACCTGTGCCAGTGTTAAAGGGATACTTCAACGAAATTTGAAATATTCCCGTCGTGTTCAAAAATAGGTTGAACATGATCCACAATATCCCTAAATGACAATCGCACGTTTGTATTTTGAACCTGGTGGCTGTATTTTTCGTTATAAACGGCCCACTCTGGCAAGCGCTCGGAGAAGGCCCAGCGGAGACCACGTGACATCCAACGCAATCGTGACGTAGGTCGTCTCAAGACGAGCAAAGCTACGGCGAGGCTGAAGTCGAGAGGATGGCCTAGTCGTTCAAGCCACCGAAGCGGCTGCTTTTGTTCAAATTTTGAGTGACGGGATAATCTTCTATAATCTTGTAGGGGGACAATAGCGACTTCTGCGACACACAAAAGGCATTCTCGGGAAGAGGGGAGTTCCTCCTGCCCCTCTTCTCTCGTCGTGGCCGGAGGCGAGACAACCTCCGTCACTAGCTGTCAAGGTTAGACGAGCATTAAAAGCGAGGCGTTAGCGACATCCACCAGGTGCTCTTTGCTGATCGTTTAATTCGTTTTAAAATTCCTTTTCGTGACTTTTTTAACAAGATATTGGTATGTTCGATTTGATGGTGCTTTTTTGAACACAAATAGACCAAAAAATGAGCGCCGAAATTTCGTTGTAGTATCCCTTTAATGTCATGTTCCACACCGAGGCTAACTGGCGGTCGCTTACCGCCCGCACTGGCAGCATCACAAAGCAGCAGCCGCGGCGAGTCTCTCGCCCTACTGTGCACCACATCGCTCACAAAGTGCCGCCGCCACCACTCCAGAGCACCACCAGCAGGGAGCGGCCAACGATCCTGTGCCCACCCCCGCGCATGGATCATTTTAACTCTTTTGCGTAGGATTCATTGCATTCGAAATGTGTTCACAGAAATGTTTTGTTTTCCATACCGTCACGTTACAGGCGATTCGCAAAGCATTACGCCATTCAAACCGTATGGCTAATCGTTAGGCTCCTGAACGGCTCTTCTCAAAACAAATAGTACACACCATTTTTTTTTTTTTTGCCGCAGAATCAGTCATTGCACCTCAATGCGATCCCATGCACGGTCAAGCTTTGTTCTGGAGCTTTGTTCCCACAAGCATTATCAACGCAGGTAATTGGTTAAACTATTTAAGATGATCGCAGCAACAAAACACGGAGACAATGCCTTCTCCTCAGAAAGTCACAAAGGGAGATCCCGCCATTGGCAAACTAACCCTGCCGCGTTTTTTTTTTTTTTTTTTTTTCTTGAAATGTGTGGGTGCGATGTTGCGTGGCTTTTGAGGGCTTTCTTACCAGGCACAGAATTTTTTCTTGATTTCAGTCGTGAATCGTCGGATGCAAATTATGCTCATCTGGCATGCCCTGCGAGAATATTGAATTATATTTACAACCGGTGTCGGAGTGGTCGTACAGACCTACGATCATTGTATATTTTCCTATATGTCGTCCGTCATGCCGTGGATTGCCATGCACTCTAGATGTCATTCTCCAAGAAGCAGTTCAAGGCGTAATAACGCTTCAGGTGCATGGACTTCATCACGTCATTGGTTACTTATATCGGTTTCCCGTGAGTGTATGCTGAAGTTATTGCTTTTCCCTAGCCTGATCATGTAGAGACGGTCAAATTGAGAAAATAGTTTTGAGAATGGTGAAAACCAGAAAGTATGTTTTTAACAAGTTTGAAATGAGAAGAAAAGTCTTTTTGAGAATGGTCAAAACCAGAAAGTTTGAAAGGAGAAGGGTTAAAATGAGAAAAGTCGTTTTGAGAATGGTCGATACTCGAAAGTTTGTTTTGAGAACGGTTTAAGTGAGAAAGGGAGAAAAATGAAAGTTGTTTTGCGCTGGGTTGAAAAGAGAAGGTGAAAACGAGAAAGTAGAAATGCGAACGAGTTCAAATGAGACATGCCGGATATTGTGCCTGCGTGCACCCCACCCCACGATTGTATCTTTGAGCTCACTTTCAAAAAAACGATCCCACTAAGCGTTCCACGCATGCGTGACGCCGCCATCACTGTAGTTCATAGGAGGCAGGCACCAGTTCACGAGGCAGCTCGTACCGCCTCGTGCTCTGCTCGCGCAGGCCTTCAGCGGGGTTGTCGCGCGTGCAGAAAGACTACATCTCCCACGATGCATGGCGGCAGCGGTGGCGTACTCAAACTAGCTGGTGAGATCGGTCTATTATCCTGTCTAGTACCAGTGAACCACAATGGAAATTTGGTCACTTTGAGCCCTACACGCATTTTGTTTTCCAAACGTCCGCTTCGTGTTACTTCACTGACCAAAAAACAAGCCGCATCTTCACAGGATACTCGCAGTTGAGCTCAACATTAACGCATGAACTTTTAAGGAAACGCAATAAATTCGCACTCACTACTGCACATAAGTTACTATGAAGTCCTCCTCCGGTCATCATAAATCTCCCACTAAAATAGTATGCCGATTGGAGATTAAGTTTTCGCAAACGCCGAGATCGGCGAGCTACGCGAAGTCCCTAACAAGCGTCTCCTACTCCTCGCGGAGCCTTTTTGGATGAGCCAATTTACCAGCGCCCAAGACCTGCGTCTGAACGGTAGTTCTGAAATTATCTAGGTATACTCACTCAGAAAGAAAGAAAACATATAACAAAGCTTATGGCCATTAGCAACCGCCAAATGCGCATGCACTTTTTTAGTTCATTTGGCGCACCGGATTGGGGTTCACGGCGTATACACTGTCCGCCGAACTGTGCGACATTCTTCACGCAACTGCTCGACTGTTTATTTCTTCGAAACTGTTTGTATGTGTGAATGTGCCTATATGATTGCGGGATAATTTCATGCGATATTGAATTAGTCGAATCCAAGCGTGTAGGGACCTCACTTTGTGCAGTGCTGCGGGTCAGTACAGCTATAAAGGGATAAGAAGTGTTCGATTTTAGCTTTTCAGCGCCGTCTCCCAGTCGTACCTCGCGTACTCGGGCGTATTAAAAAAAATACAATAATTTAAAACAGGTAGTTTCGCCAATGGACGCATAAAACAAGTAACAAACTTGCTGACCAGCAACGCCAATGTAAAGTTGCGAGCTCGGTGTACGCGAACTTACTGGTTGTTAAAGGGACAATGAAGGAAATTTAGGAGATCTTTTTGGCGATTGAACTGGGTTCCAGGCAGGTCTCAGGCCACGTTGCCCAAATTTCAGCCGAAACCGGCGCTTGTGTGCCGCGCAAATCAATGAAACAGTCGCGGTAATAATCGTACCGGGATCGACTGGGGCGACGCCCCAAGAGTTGCGGGAGAAGCGGAGCTCACGTGACCGATGCGGGGCC